ACTATTTTTATAACCATTTTATTATTATTAAACTTTTAAAATTTTAAAAACAAGTGATTGGTGTTTTTCACAGCCACCTTGGCCACCAGTCTGTCCAGGTTCTGTCCTCCTCCTCCTCAGCAGCATCACCTACAGATCCTGCTCCGCTCCTTAAAATGGAGATATAAAAACCCTTTGAGTTCTTTCTGCTGGAAAGATGTGCAAACCTCAGAGCCAGCACATTCACAGAGCCCAAAGAGAAGGGAAAGTCAGGACAGCATTCCCTGGCCAGCCTGGCCCTGATTAATGAATGCCATGTGCAGCCAAACGGGTCTGCAGGCTGAGCAGCCTCAGGATGAGCCATTTTCCACAGCTGATTCCTTTCTAAACAAGCAGCTGAACGGAATGAGCCCTTCCAGCCAGCCACCAGGCCAGCAGCAAAGGATGTTACACCACTGGAGTGGCTGCGGGGATCAAAGGCAGAGGTTTATTCTGGAACAAAGCTGGAGGAAGGGATTACTCACTGCTGGCAGCCTCAGGAGCTGGCACTGAACCCGGCCCAAGCGCTCAGAGATGCCTCCAGCAGGAGAAACCAAACTGCTGCAGGGTTTTCCAGCCACTGAGGGCCCTCACAAACCCAGCACAGGGAAGTTCTGGCTGGCACATCTTAGAATGTGAGCAGGGGTTGTGAAAATATTGCTTTGGGCTAAATAAGCTTTAGCCCCAAATCACAGAATCCCAGAATGGTTTGGGTGGGAAAGGACCTTAAGGCTCACCCAGTCAATCACACAAAAAAATTAAATCATTTCATGTGTTGGATCACCCATATTTATACAGCAGGTGGGGTTTTATCCCACACAGTTTATTGCAAAGCAAGCTGGAAATTCAAATCCCAGAATGGTTTGGGTGGGAAAGGACCTTAAAGTTCATTGCATGCCATCCCCTGCCATGGGCAGGGGCACTTTCCACCATCCCAGGCTGCTCCAAACCCCCTCCAGCCTGGCCTGGAATGTTTCCAGGGGTCCAGGGGCAGCCCCAGCTTCTCTGGGCAGCAAAGAATTTCAGCAGTGGCCGTGGTGTGGCTGCTGGAGCTGGCACTGCCACACTCCTGTCCTGGGGAGATCTCCTAAGGCAGTGCTAGAGATACAAACACTTGGGGAAAAGTCAGATTTTGAGCTTGCACAAACAAGATTTCTCACTCACAGCCTTTGGGTTTTGCTGCAATCCCGATTAATGTGAGATGGGAAGAGTTTTTGCAGCTTTAAATGCGAGGGTAAAGTGCCAGCATCTGTTCCAGGGGCAGCCCTGAGTGACTACAAACTACTTCACATTGCACTGGATTTCCACCTACTCACTTCAGGCTGGGGACAGGGACAGAATATTTGATCAGACTTCTGTGCAGCTTAGGAATTTTACTGATGTTTTAGTAAATTATGCCATCTATATTTAAGTCAAAGTATTTTTTTTTAATCAAATATATTCTGTAGCCCTGTTTATCTCGTTATCCATGAAAGATTCAAAGTTCCAATGCAGCTTTGAGCTTGGCTCTTGATTAATTCCCAGCCCACCAGGGAAAAGAATTCTGCTTGGGAGGACAACCCCAAATCACAGCCAAGCAGAGCAGTTTGCAAACGCTGTTTCAAGGAGCACATCAATAAATCAACACATGGAGGAAGGAGAAGCCCAACTCTCCTTTGGGGAATTCTGCTAGCCCAGAGCCACACATCTCTTGCCACCAGCAGGCCCTGCTGGGGTTCAGGACTCTATTTTGCTTCCAAAGGTTCTTTAATGTGCTACAGACATTGCTCTGTCTCATTAGCTTGTAATTTACATTAAATGATTAAATGGTTTGGGTTGGAAGGGACCTGAAAATCATCCCATGCCAACCCCTGCCATGGGCAGGGACACCTTCCACTGTTCCTCAGGTTGCTCCAAGCCCTGTCCAACCTGGCCTTGGACACTTCCAGGGATCCAGGGGCAGCCACAGCTTCTCTGGGAAGAAGAGTCTCCCCACCCTCACAGAGAAAAATTCCTTCCCAATATCCCACCCATCCCAGCCCTCTGGCAGTGGGAGCCATTCCCTGTGTCCTGTCCCTCCATCCCTTGTCCCCAGTCCCTCTCCAGCTCTCCTGGAGCCCCTTTAGGCCCTGGAAGGGGCTCTGAGCTCTCCCTGGATCCTTCTCCTCTCCAGGTGAGCACCCCCAGCTCTCCCAGCCTGGCTCCACAGCAGCTCCATGGCCTCCTCTGGACTCACTGGAGCAGCTCCACCTCTTCCTGAGCCTGGGTTTTCTTCAGTGACCTTCTGGCTTCGGGTGCTTTGATCCTGGCTCACGCTGGCACACGTGTGCTGCTGCTGTGCTGCTGCTCAGAGTCAGGTGGTGCCTGGACCCACTTCAATCACAGCCCAAACCCACCCTCATCCCCTTCTCTTCTCCCCCTCAGGTTTCCCCACAAAGCTCTGTGCTTTGGGACCTGAACACGGAGCAGCTCCTTGCATCCCAAAGTCACTGGGAACGTGTTTGTTACACAGAGATGCAGCAGCACTGGCAGATCTGAGAGAATTGGATATTCCCCATCAAAAGAGCTTTTTTCCCTCATAAGGAAATCAGAATCACAGCTCCTCACTTTCTTCTGACACTGGCACACACTGGCTTGTGTCTCCTGCCAATCCCACACCCCCAGCGACCTCTTCTGACCAGCACACCCCACAGGCTCAAACAGAGCCTCACCTCTGCTCCCAGTGCTCCTGTCACCCTTTCCAGAGCTGACTTTGGGATTTCTCACTGTCTGATGGAGCCCTGGGAAGTTTTCCATCATTGCCACACCAAACCATCCCTGTAGATGAATGGTACAAACTCCCAACAGGGAAGTTTCCATCACTGCCACATCAAACTATCCTTATGGAGGAATGGTACAGACTCCCAACAGGGAAGTTTTCCATCACTGCCACACCTTGTAAAGGAATGGCACAAACTCCCAACAGGGAAATTTTCCATCATTGCCACACCAAACCATCTTTACAGTCCCAACAGGGAAGTTTTCATCACTGCCACACTAAACCATCCTTGTAGAGGAATGGTACAAACTCACTTCAGGCAAGTTTTCCATCATTGCCACATCAAGCCATCCCTGTAGAGGAATGGTACAAACTTCCAACAGGGAAGTTTTTCAACATTAACACACCAAACCATCCCTGTAGAGGAATGGTACAAACTCCCAACAGGGAAGTTTTTCAACATTAACACACCAAACCAGCCTTGGAGAGGAATGGTACAAACTCCCAACAGGGAAGTTTTCCATCATTGTCACACCAAACCATCCTTATAGTCCCAACAGGGAAGTTTTCCATCAGTGCCACACCAAACCAGCCTTGGAGAGGAATGCTACAAACTCCCAACAGGATTAAACACCCAGTCTGGAGATGGGCTGAGCAACAAGGGGATGGATGCCTGGAGGCTGCTCAGGGTTAACCCTCCTGTGAGAAATCCCAAATTTGGGCTCTTTTAAAAATTGGGATTTAGAAAAATGGGAAGAAAGCAGAGCCAACACACCCCTTCAGAAAGGACCTGGCAGAAGCTCTGTGTGACCCAGCCACCCCACAGTGTCACCATCCACCTCCCCAAATCAGGCACACAACAATTCCCTCCTCTGGAACCACACAAGTTCCCAAATGTTGGCTCCCAACATCCCCCCAGCGCGTGGCTCGAAGGTGACACAAAGCAACTCGTGTGTGTCAAGTCCCCAAAAAAACCAGCAGGGCTCCAACACAACAGATGTGCAGATGAGAGCCAGGTACAAAAAGCCATTATCTTCCATCAACACAAATGCATTTTTCTTTCACAAATAACACCCATTAGCAGCTCCAAGGAGAACAATCCCCGCTCTGAAGGAGGACGTGGTTTTTTCGGCAGACACAATGCAAAGATTTTGTAAAATTCACAGGTTCAAAAGCACTAATGTGAAAGATTATTTCGCAATTAACCAAGCAATTTTCTCTCCTCATTGTTCCCGGACCATAAGGGTTTTTAAATGTGAGCAGAAGGATTTATTCATCACAATAATAATAAAAGGAAATATTAAATCAATGAATCTCTTTGCATGCAGCATAAAGCTCGCATTGCTATTAAGCTCAGTAGCATCCTGTCACATAAACCACACGCAGTTTGTGTATTTAAGCACCATCTCCCTCTTTTATTTTTCCCTTCCCTAATTTGTAAGGCATTATCCTTCCATTTGTCCTCTAAACACAACCAGATTCAGAGCACTCAGTTCTTGTTAGTAGCTCTCTGCCCTTGCTCTCTTTATGAGGGGAGATTTATATTTAATTTTGATTTTTAACAACGGCCAGTGAAGGAGGTTATGCTGGGATGACAAGGGAGACCTAAAATAAATAAAAATTTGGAGTAGAATTCACTCCTTACAAGTCAATGTCCAAGTGAGTACATTTTTCATGGGTCTGAAAATGAATGTTGGCTTTTGAAGGTGTCACTTCTTCATCTTGGCTGAGGAAAAAAAAATTATCAACTCAAATATATGCAAAAGTCAGCTACAACCTTGGGAGCATGGAAGCTCTCACAGTCACGTCAGCCTTGGCTTGTAATTCCTTCTCTGCCATCCCTTGTAATATGAAGTGAGAATTGAGTTTTGAGCTCTTTGCAGTCGACACTAATTCAGCGGGTCCCTCTTTTGTTTTAATAAAAAATTCATCTGGCAAAGTGCAGAAACAGTTACTGCTTAGGAATTTATAAGGTGTCAACTGTCCTCACAGGGAGGCACTTAAAGAGCCTAAGCAAGAAGATTTCCAACGAGCACCAATCTTTAGCTTTAAGCATCAAAATTCACATTAGGCTCCTCAAAAGCAATTTGCATTCTCAGAGTGCTAAATACCTGGCACCTCTTGTTTTTCTCCACTGATAAAAGTACCCAAAAGAAGTACAGACACCTTCAGCCATCCCCCAGGACTGAAGCTGAGCTGACACAGATGACTCCAACATGCAAACCCCACCACGAATAAGTCTTACCATGATTGGGACGCCAATGTCCGGCCACAAGAGATCCTCGGAGGGAAGCTTGGGAGAGTTCCACACCACCACAACTTTGTTTAAGTAGGGGAGACCATTGAGCCTTTCCAGGGAGTTCATCAGCACTTCCTCCCGCTCGTAAGTCAACATCACCACCGTGAACTGCTCCCGCGGGACGTTGCCACCCAAAGCAGCCTGGAACTCCTTCCCAGAGCCACCTGCTCCTCCACCAATTGGTCGAAATCCAGTCCCAGACCCCAAAAATTTTGCCTCTGATGGTAAAACGGGGTCAAAGGGAGTGTAGGGGAAGAGGTGGAAAGGCCCCGGAGCAGAATTCCAATTCCTGTAGATATCCATTGCAGTGAGGGTGAAATTGCGGAGATATTTGGGAGAGGCGTAGGGCGGCTCTGTTTCCACAGGCCCCAGGTCCAGGTCACCATTGTCTGCCATATTGGGGTCTGTACCAGCAGCTTTGCCAGACCGGTGGGGGATCTCCACGGCAGGCTCTTCTCGGATAGGAGCAGCTGGGATTTGGATTCGAGTCCTTATGATGGCTAAGACTGTGCTGAAGACGTTGTCGGAGGTGGAGAAGTAGGTCTCCCACAAGAAGCGGCCCTGCCTCCTCATGGCAAGGAGGTCGTTGTCAGAAATGCTTCTCAGAAGAAAGTGCACTTCTGTGATACGTGGCTTTGGTATGATTAAGGCTGCCTCGTTCCACCGGATCACATCGTTGTAGGGTAGCTGAACCTGCTCTCCGAGAACCACCGGGATGGCCCCGACTTCCAGAGCCTCAAACAGTCTCATGGTACACCCGGCGGAGATCACTAAACGGGTGTCCCCGGGGGTGATGATCAGTGCAAAAGTAGAAAGCTTCAGTAGCTCTAGTCTGTCTTCCCTTTCTCCACACAGAGCCCACTCAGTGGGCAGACTCGCCTTGGGCTGGTTCTTACACGTGAACTCCACCAGAACAAAGTCCAGCTTGCTGTCCTGAACAGCCTTCAAGGTGGTGATGATCCGGTCGTCGTAGTCGGCCGGGGCGTTGCCTTCGATCTCCTCCTCGAAAGAGCGAACCTCCTGCAAGCTGGAGCGGAGGGACTCGATCTTCTCCCCCTGGAAACTGAACAGGTACTTACGCTTGACCGGCACCTGGGGCGGGATCTCCAGGAAGTTGGGCTCGGACATGGCGTGGACCAGAGGTGACACCACGATGTCAAAGCCCGGTCGATACTGGGCGTCGTAAAAGGTGGACTGGGCGATCATGGCGCGCCCCGTGCTGATGTTGTAAATGAAGTTCTGAGTTTCCGACTTCCTCGACAGATTGATGATGAGATGGTTGTGGCCATCAGTCCTCCAATATGGCAAAGAGTGCAACTGTTGCTCTAGTTCAGTAGGTTTTGGCATTACGGGCTCTTGCATTTCCCCCACTAAAATTATATACACACAAGCAATATTTGCATTTTCAGTAACATAAACATTAGTTCTGACAGTCGCCTCAAAGGCCTGTTTAATTAAAGGGTCTAAGGAACTACCAAAAGGGTAATCGTCACTGTTGTAGACATAGACTGGAAAGCCAGACGTCAGCGGGCAGCGCGAGTAGTCAAAGCAGTTGTGCAGCCTGCAGTTCCTGTTGGATTTTGGCAGGGGGAAGGTGGCGTCGTCCTTGTCTGGCAGCAGCCGGATGGGCAAGGAGAGCTTGGGCTGGTTCTGAGCCATCAGCTCTTTGTAGGAATGCTCAGTCTGACTGATGACGTTCTTCAGCTGCAGCAGGTCCTGCTTGGCATTTTCAATGCTCTTCTTGCAGGCCTCGATCTTCAGGTTGAGCTTGGCGATCTCGCTGTTGAGCTCCTGCCGCTTGGCCTCGAGCTGGAGCAGCTCCTCGCTGACCGACTCGCGGATGCGGCACAGGTCCTGCACGTGCTTCACCTCGCACAGCTCGTTGCCGGTGCGCGGGCCGAAGATGCGCTTGCCGGCATCGTCCGCGTCGTCGATGGTGGTCAGGTAGTAGTGGGCGATGAGGGGGAAGAAAACGAGGATGACGAAGAGGGTGAAGCTAAGCCAGGTGAGCCGGATCCGACTGGACCACCTCAACACCCACGGCTGGCCTCCGTTCCCCACTCCCCCATTGCGCAACATCGTATAGCCAGTCATGAGTTCCAAAGTCGCCGCGCGCGCAATCACGTCGGATCAGTAGCCATAACCAAAAGAGTTTTTACAGCGAGTCTCTCGAAGGGAAATGTTATTGTGCCTGCTCAACAAGAAGCCAATGGAAGGGGAATTTCATCTTCTTGCCGTGCCGGCGGCTCTTCCACGGTCGTTTTGCTGCAGGTGCAACTCCTGACCCCGTCAGACTCGATCGTTGACCTTCTCGCCCACCCCCAGCCCACCCTTGGTCCGTGGGCAACCTTTGCTGGAAGTGTCACAGCGTTGTCATGGTGACTCAGAGTCACAACTGGCAGGAGAAAAACGCAGTGGGACCGAGCCAAACTCTACCGCTGCTGCCGACATCGTGCATTACCATCCGATGAATATGCAGCGGCAGCAGCCGTGGGGCAGACGGAGCCAGAAGGGACTCGCAGCACTGTCAGTCTCTCTCATCGCTGCTGGGAGGGTGAAGCTCTGCCATTCCTACAAGAGAACAAGCACACAGTCAGGCAACACAACCAAAACGACCTGCTAGTAACCTAAGACATGGCTGGATTTAAAAGCAATTGTCCTCTCTCAAAATTACAACCTCTGGGCTGTCACCTGAGAAGGCGGTGGGATCCACGAGATGGGGACACACACTCTGCTCCTCCTTAGGGTTGTGTAGGGCTGCTCCAGACCACACAACCTCCTCAGCTCTGGATCTGGATCTGGATCTGGATCCTTGTTTTTCCCACCTCTCCTCACATCCAAGCCAGAGGCGCTGACATATACCTGCTCTCGCTGCCCGCCCACTGTGATCCCGGGACGCAGCAGTGCTGGGAATTTGCACTGCATAACTGAGTGTAATCGCCATTGTTCTGCTCTGGTGACTAGAGCTGATGAGGAATTTTTAGATGGAGTGTTTTGCTTTCATTTCCTGCTGGAAAATTTTGATTCATTACATGAAGAAGTTTAAAGGGAACGTACTGGTGTTGGTTATGATTTAACTGGCTGGCTGAGTATGAGGGAATTTCTGGTCAACGCTAGAAAAGTTTACACCGTACATCAAAGCAAAGATGCTGAAGTTAGGATCTGTGGGGAACCTCTTGGGAGAAATTGTTCTTTGTGAGGGTGGCACAGGTTGCCCAGAGAAGCTGTGACTGTCCCTGGATCCCTGGAAATGTCCAAGGCCAGGCTGGACAGAGCTTGGAGCAACCTGGGACCATGGAAGGTGTCCTTGCCCATGGCAGGTGGAACTGGATGAGTTTCAAGGTCCCTTTCCACCCAATCCATTCTGTGACTCTATGAAATTCAGCTCTGAGTCAGCTCTAGGCCAAGAGATTTAAATCTAGGCCACATCAGTATGCTGTCACTAGAAAATCTCCCCTTTTATTGGCATCCCCCAAGGTACTGAAGTTTCTGGGATATTCTTTCATACACTGGACTTCCCACAGCACTGATGAATATAGAGCTGGGCTTAGCACCAGCTCCTGCACGGCCTCAAGAGAAGCTCATTCATTTCCGTTTCAATTTTTAATTAGAAGAAAGTCATCCACGCTGGTGACGGTCATTTTTCACTAAATCTATTTAATGCCCTTCTCATCTACTCATCAAGAATTCCCAGAAAGAAGGTGAGGAAGCAAATCTCAGCTGAAAGAGAGATCTGGAAATGGGCCAAAGCAAAAAAAGTTCACCTGAAAGCAGCAGAGAGAAGTCAGGAGGAATTTTCAGTGCTGTACTCAATGCACGTCAGAGAAAATAAAGGGGAAATTTGATTTTAACCATGAAAAATCATCATGAAGAGGGGAAATATGTGGGGTAACAAAGAACAATCCCCAGGGCTATTGTTACACAGCCATTTGTTGTCACTTACTTAACACCCCATGATTAAATGGGATTTCCATCCCCTCCCACCAACGTGACCCACAGCCCAGTTGCACAGCAGAATGAACGCTCAAAACTAAGGCAGATTTTAAATTCATGACATTGGCAAACAGCAGCGGTGTAAATCTCAGAAAGTCAGGAGGATAAAGGGGCTAAAAAGTCAGCAAAAGGCTAAATCAGCTTTCTTGGATCTTGGCAGCACACGGCTGTGGGCAGATGGGAGGCTCCAACATAGAACCAAAGGCAAAAAAATAAAATTAATTAAAAAAAAGTTTTTATTTTATTTTTCTTTCTTTCCCCCCTTTTTCAGGCCCTCTGCAGGAATTGCAGCTCATGCTGGGGGTGTGTGTGCCAGTCCCTGCCATTTCAGGTCTCATGGGGGCTGCAAAGATCCCCCAGTTGCCACCAGTTTTCTGCAAACAGCTGGCCAGGAGATGAGCTGCCCTAATAATGCTTTTCCTGACAGAAATGCCAAAGCACACACTCACTTGAACACCAGCAGAATCTGAAAACCAGCTTAAGTTCAAGGGGAAAACAAGCTTTGCTGGGGTTTTATATTTGGGGTGCCATGGGGTAAGTGGGGTCAAACACTGCAGGGTGTTGAGGCAAAACAAAAATGAGGATTATAAATGTGGGCATTGCAGTCCCAAAGGTAACACTGCATCAATATCTTATTCCTTTGTGGTTACTTGGGCTATTTATGAGTCATAATTGGTAATGAAAAGGCAAACTGGACTCCCTAAAATGGCAGCTGGGGTCCTGGAAAAGCCAAATCCATCACCCCACGCCTGATCCTCAGCAGCTGTTCTGCCACAGTGGCTCCTCTGCTCCTTCTCTTCCTTGACACAGAGCAAAATTCATCCTCCTCACCTCAAAATATGGGCTGTGAATTAAAAATATCCGTGTGCTCAGGAGTCTAAAGTTGCCAGTGTGACTCCATTGCTCTCCTGGAAAACACCACAAGGGAAAGAGCAGAGCAGGCTGAGGAGGGATTTAAAATGCACCACACATGGCTTGGGATTAGCTAAAAGTATGGACTGTCAGTATGAAATATGTGCTGGTGATAAAATGAGCACTTTAGACACACTCCTGGACTCTTCTTCACTATTAAGACTTTATTCCTCATCAACTCAATCGAGCCTGAGGTTGTCACACGCTGCCATTAGGACTTATAAAAAAAAGACAAAGTAAAAACCCAATCTGTGGTTTTATCAAGAGAAACTTCAGGGCTGTGTTTATCAGCCTTGGGGGAAAAGGCTGCTGATTTCCCATCGTTCCCAAAAAGAAATCTGGGAGGAGGAGAAGCGGGATAGCTGCTGGGCCTTCCAGCCAGCTCATCCCTCTCACTCCCAAGTACTATTTAGCTCTTTAAACTCACCAATTTCCACGCTGAAAACTCTTGTTGATGTTATAGCACAGTCTTGCTGCCTGATGGAGCTGATCACACACAAACAGAAAGAGGAAGGAAGATCTCTCAGGGGATCAGAAGACCAATAATTACCAAAGCCTCTTCCCAAATGCCAACCTGACTGAATTCTCAGGTTTGCCCACTGCAGATCCTTCTCCCATGAAATTCAACTGCTCAGAGCACATGGTCAAAGCCTGGGCTGCATTCCCAGGCATTCCCAGGCATCCCAGCCTTCCTCAGCTCCACAGCAGGCACTCCCCGTGCCAGTGGAGTTATGGGAATTACTGAGGTTCTCCCTCTTTTTGCATTTCTAGAAATAACCCAGCTGGTCTGATCTGGGAGTGTTTGTGGAGCCACTACTCTGCAAGTGTTCAAAGACTTGAGCACCCCTACTCCTCCCTGCTTACACCTCTGCTATCCATCTCGCTATAAAATTAGGGAAATGCTTCTCCTTTCTCAGCATATCTGTGAACAGAGCCTGGAAAATTTAAACTTGTGGTCCTTCAGAGCTCAGCAGAGCAATGCACAGCCATGAGGAAGAACAGGACTGCACTGTGGGGAGGAAAATCCACAGGGATCCTCCTGCACCTGTTAAATCAGAGTTCCCAAACTCTCTGTGTGCATCCATCCTCATCCTGACTCCCTTTCTTTAAGAAAGGAGGGGTCTGCAGTGTTATCATCCACAAATTTCTGCTGCTCTCCATGGAGAACAAACCAACCCACCTCTGCCACGCCAGCTCCCTCCTGGCAAACAGAAAAGGACCTCAGGGAGTGTGGAAGTGGCTCCCATGCTTTATCTGGGCTTGGAGAGACACCTTCTACTGCCAAATCTCTCTTTCATCAGCATTAGGAATGAAATCAAAGAGAGAAAATAAAAATACAGCATATTCTCCCCTTCAGAACAGGCTGCAGTGGAAGAAAACGAACCCCAAACAACCCTTCAGCAATGATGACTTTCTATCTGCTGATGCTCTCAAAGGGAAGGATTACATCCAAAATCTCCCAATCACTTTGGGAACAGGAGCAGTTGAACAAGGAGAATAAATCCATCAGGTGTGTGCTTTAAGGTACAGTTGGGTTGGGAGCAGATCCATCAAAGGAGCAGATGGAAAATTCACTCTGAAATTGAAAGCAGCAGTCTTAGGGATCATCCTGAGGGATTTGCAGCATCTCCAGAGCTCACAGCCACAGAGCAATTCCCCCAGGCTGAGATCAATGCTGTTGTATGCACAGGTAAAAGGTTCTGTAATCTGGAAATTCCAGGGATAAACTGCACCCCTGCCTTCAGGGAGTTTTATCCAAAGCAAGGAACATCCTGCACGTTTGCAGCTCCATGCAAAGCCAAACCTGCTCCCAGCCCTGCTCCTCATCCACACGGGCACGTGTGGGGTAAAGAGATCCTGGAAAAATGCTCCAAGAGCCCCTCCATGTGCTCATCCTGGAAAAGTGGGAAACCACATGTGCTGAAGTGGCTTTAGAAGTGGCATGTGGGGAACTTTGAGTTTTCCACCCCAAGTTCTTGAGGAAGAACACTCCCTCCTGCCACCATATCACACAAGTGATGTTCTCTGCCCTCCCAGCTGCAGAAAATGATGAAGGGAAAAGCAGGAAAAGCCAACAGATCAACACCTGGCTCTGGAGCAGGTGGAATTTTGGGGCTTTGGATCATGGATTGGTTTACACCACACCAGGTCTGGTGGCAACAGACAGGGTTCAGCCATTTCAAAGGGAGACAATGATCATCCTGCAGGAGTTAGGAGGACTCAGGGAAAGAGCTTTAAATAGGATTTGAAGGAGGATTTGAGACCAACAGATATCCAAAACTCACTGGACATTGCCTCAGAAACATCCTGAGGTCCCTTCCCATCTGAATTATTATATGGCTTTGTGTCCAGGCTCCCAGGTGGCAGCAATTCAGAAATGTGAGGAGAAACCTGGAGTTAAGACGTCCTGAGCCTTCTCCCAGCTCTGATACCCCCTCTCTCCAGCCCCCAGGGGAAATCAGGCACCCCCAGGCCTCCACCTCTGTCTCCACCAAGCAAAGGTGACCTCAAACTCTTCAAGGCAGACGAGTGAAGAACTGAGTCTGGCTCTCAGCTCTGTGCTCTCATCTGGGCATTGGGACAAGGTTGTGCTCCAGGAGATGCTGAGTGTTGAGAAAACACAGGAACCTCTCCCCCAAGTGTTGAGAAAACACAGAAACCTCTCC